GTAGTCGTAGTCGCAGTCGTAGTCGTAGTAATCGTAAAGGTAGTGGCAGTAGTCGTAGCAGTAGTCATATCAGTCGTTGTCGTCGGAGTTGTAGTAGAAGGTTTAGTAGTAGTAGCAGTAGTAGTCGTAGTAATAGCAGTCTTAGTACTTGTAGTAGTAGTAGTAGTAGTAGTAGTAGTAGTAGTAGTAGTAGTAGTAGTAGTAGTAGAAGCAGAACAAGTCGTCGTTGTAGTAATTGTCGTCACAGTATTTGTGCTTGTAATCGTAGCTGATTTATTAAGCGTAACTTTTAGTACTGGTATTAGTAGTAGTAGTAGTAGTAGTAGTAGTAGTAGTAGTAGTAACAATAGTAGTCGTAGTCGCAATCGTACGAGTAATAGTAGAAGTAATAATGACAGTCTCAGTATCAGTAATAGAACAAGTAATGGCCAAATTAATCGTAATAGTAATAAAAACCGTCATATTAATAGTAACAATAATTCCCCAATCAGTGCTTGCACTCAAGGGGTCCTCGCTGAGGTTGGAGGATTTGGCGAAAGTGTCCCGTCGATGTTTGTCGCACGCAGGGTTCCCGGGTTCCCTGTTCCGGGTTCCTGGGTTGCCGGTTCCGGGTTCCGAGCCGATTTCAGACAGTGGCGAGGTTCCCAGGTTTCCGGGTTCTTGGTCGATCTTATTATCCATCGGTCTCACCATCGATCTCATTACCCCTTTCTTTACCGATCTCACCATCGATCTCACAATCGATCTCACTTTCTATCACATAAGTGATTTCACTAGAGATCGCATGCGCGATCTTCCGATCGATCTCACGATCGATCTCATTGATTCGATTTCACTCTCGGTCTCACGATCGACCTTACAATCGTCCTCACTGTCGGTTCCGCTATCGATCTCACAATCGATCTCGGGATCCATAGTATCAGTTTTCAAATCATCCACAGATTGGGTTTTTCTGGCGCAAGATAGTAATAGTAGTAGTAGTGATAATAGTAATTGCAATCGCAATCGCGATCGTAATCGGGATAGTACAGTGCTTGCACTGAAGGGGTCCCAGCGGGGATACAAGGAGTTGGCGAAAGTTCCAAGCCGATTTCGGTGGGCGTCCGGGTTCCTGGATTCCTGGTCCCGGGTTCCCGGGTTCCTGTTTCCGGCTTCCGGGCCGATTTCGGTGGGCGGCGGGGATCCTGGGCTTCCAGGTTCTTTATCGATCTTTTTTATCGATCAGTCTCACCATCGATCTCGCTACCCATTTCTTCATCGATCCCATGATCGATCTCTCATGCCCTCCCCTCCACGTCCTCGTCCTCGTCGTCCTTCTCCTTCCCCTTCGTGCTGGCCTCGGCTCACGATGTCTGGTGGCACTGCGCGTGGCTCATTTGCTTGAGTCAGGGGCGTTCTCCCGCAAGGAGTGTATTTTGAGTCGCCACGTGGAAGTTCCCATGGCGCTCAGGCGAATGAGACCCGAGATGTCCTAATCGATCTCACAATCGATCTGACTGTAGATCGTGTGATTGATCTCACGATCGGTCTCATGATCGATCTCATTGAATCAACTTCACTACCGGTCACTATTGAAGCCGATGCAATTTCGGGGGCGCATGTTCTGGAATTTGAGGCCGATTTGGAAGGACCGAAGACCATGCCGTGGCATGGTACTGGAAATAATGACGCCAGCGCTGCAGCGGGAGCACGATTCGGAACGAGCGGAAACGCGGAAATGAGGCCAGCGTTGCAGCGGGAGCACGATTCGGAACGAGAGGAAGCGCGGAAATGAGGCCCGCGTTGCAGCGGGAGCACGATTCGGAACGAGCGGAAGCTTGAAAACGAGGCCAGCGCTTCACTTGGAGCAACATTTTGGAAACAGACCCCTGCGAAAACCCATTTCCCGGGAATCTTATATGTAAAAACAATGCGCGGAGGGGGGCCAGGCATCTTCCAGACGTCATCAGGGGAGAGAGGAGAGTGGTGCTCATATGATGAAATCGTGGGGAGAGAAAGGAGGAGGAGGAAGGAGAAGGAGGAGGAGGAGGGGGAGGAGGAGGAGGAGGAGAGAGAAGAGAGAGGAGGAGGAGGAGGAGGAGAGAGGAAGAGGAAGAGGAAGAGGTGGCGGAGGAGGAGAAGGAGGAAGAGGAGATGGAGGCGGAGGAGGAGGAGGAGGAGGAGGAGAGGAGGCAGAGGAGGAGGAGGAGGAGGAGAAGAGAGGAGGAGAAGAGGCGGCGGAGGAGGATGAGGATGAGGAGGAGGAGGATATGGAGGCGGAGGAGAGGAGGGGGGGGAGGAGGAGAAGGAGGAGGAGGAGGAGGGAGGTGGAGGTGGAGGAGAGGAGGAGGAGGAAAAGGAGGTGGAGGAGGAGGAGGAGGAGGAGGAGGAGGAAGAGGGGGAGGAGCAGGAGGAGCAGGAGGAGGAAGAGGAGCAGGAGGAGCAGGAGGAGCAGGAGGAGTAGGAGGAGGAGGAGGAGGAGGAGGAGGTGGAGGAGGAGGAGGGGGAGGAGAAGCACGCGGAGCAGGCGGAGCAGGAGCAGGAGGAGGAAGAGGAGGAGGAGGAGGAGGAAGAGGAAGCGGAGGAGGAGCGAGAGAGCGAGGAATGTGACTGCCTTGGCCATGGCCCCCGCTTTCTTGGAGGGGCCCCGGGAGGGCGCCCGTGGAGCGGTTCGTCGGGGCGGGTGCTCTTGGGCGCCTCGAGGCGGGGGAGGCGGCCTCCCGAGGTCGAAGCAGGCCCCGCCTCTCGGGCCCAGGAGCCCTCTCGCCTCCCGCGGAGCCGCCCTCCAGCTGCAGCGCGTCGCCGCGCCGCTTGCTCCGAGACGTGCGGCCCTGCGCCTCGGGGAGGCGCCTCGGGCACCAGGGCGCACGCCGCCTCTGGCGCGGTGGGGCTCGCCGTGGGTGTGCCGCGGTGCGGGCCTCGTCGACCTGGGGCGTTGGGCGCAGGGTTTGCCGTGGTGTCAGCGTTGTCCACCTGGGCGCGTTGAGGACAAGCGGCGCGGCGGCACCACGGAAGCAAGTTGTCGGGGTTGTTGCAAGTGTTTGCTTTCGTTGCCTTGCGGTCGGCCTCGCTCGCGCTGCGCGTCCAGAATGGCCCCCTAATTATTGAGGGGCAGCGGATTCTTCCTTCTCCTCGGGTTGGCTGCTTGGACAGAAAGGTACGACAACCGAATATCAGCCAGCGTACAATCAAGGAATCAGAGGAATCGAGCATGCTTGGAATCCGCAGCTCAGCAAGCAAGCAAGCGTGCAAGCAAGCGCGCAAGCAAGCAAGCAAACACGCAAGCAAGCAAGTACGCAAGCAAGCAAGCAAGCAAGCAAGCGCGCAAGCAAGCAAGCAAGCAAGCATACATAAAGGGGGGTGCCATTGGAAAAAGAGGGGGATAGGCATAGAAATAGGCATTGCCATAGGAATTAGGGGGGGCATAGGAATTAGGGGGGAGGCAACGGGCCAATTAGTAGCGTGTGAGCTAGGACTCCTCCAGGGCAAGCCTATGTGGAGAATAACATCGAGCCACCGTGCTGCCGTGAGGCACGCTAAACATGGAACGGAGGGGCTCCTCTGGCCACGGCGAGCCTCGGCACACGGCCACGGATGGGTCCCCCGAACTGCGGTCGGGGGCTGTCGGATCGCGTGTCGCTCCGCGGGTTCGGGCCCACCAACGCTCCGGCGCGACACGCTATCCCCCTCCATCGGTCCCCAGGAGTCAACATCCCGAGTGGTTCCCAGCCTCCCGTCCCGCGGAGCGGAGCGACACGCCGTCCGCTCGCAGTGCACAGCGTGTCGCCAGGGCGCCGGGGCCGCCGCCGCGGCACGCGATGCGAAAGTGCTGCCTTGCGGAGCGCCAGATATAGAACACAGGGGCTCCTCTGGCCACGGCGAGCTTTGGGCACGCGGCCACGAATAGTTCCTTCGGCCTAGATCCAAGGAGCAGCCTCAAACCCACAGCCCACTCTGAACCAACAGGGGGCCTTATCTCAGCGTCTTGGGTGCAAACATGCGCGTTGAGAAGGTCCACGCGGGCCTCTTGAGTCGGCGCTGGACCCCCCTGGCCTCGCGCGCTCCAGGCTCCAGGGAGGAGAGTCCACAACCAATCCGAAAAATCCATGCGGTGTATACCTAGTGTTCCCAGCTCTCTTGTGTTGGCTTCTCGTTTTGGATAGAGGGCTGCGGTCTTCGGGTCCGTCTCCCGCCTCCTCTCACTGTCTCTCCCTCTCCCTCGTCCTGGTTGATAGGTGTTCGTTCCTCGTGTCTCCTGCGTGCCTCCCACCGGCATCCTAGCCCTCCTCCTGCTTCGTCTGGCCTGGGAGGTCTGCAGGTGGTTGCGATCGGCGACAGTGTTGCCACTTTCGAGGGCTGCTGGGGGGTCAGAGCAGTTGGTTGGGTGACCGCCGCAGACCCAGATGAGACCTCGCTGCCCATGGGGGCTGCGAAGTGTGAGTTCGCCGCCATGTTCGAGGGCTGCTGTGGGGTGCCGTTGGTGGCCACCGCAGATCCGGATACGACCTCGCTGTCCGTCGGGGGCTGCGAAGTGGCCGCCCCTCGGACCTGCCGGCGCGCCTGCGGGCGTCTGGCTCCCGCATTGACAGGGCGGGCGGGCGAGCCAGGCCTCGCTCGCTTCTCGCGCCATTCATGAACAGCCAGCTGACCATAGGGGGCGCCAGGCCGACAAGGCGTGGGCACTGCTGCGCCCCAACGAACCGCGTGAAAAAACGCCACTCGTTCCTCGTCCCTCCTCCCTCGTTGTCGTCCTCTTCCTCCTTCCTCCGTCTCCCTGCTGCTCTGTTGACATTTCGGCCCCCCCTTTCCGTTCTTCTTATTCTCCCCATCGTTCTCTCCCCCCTTTCCCTTCGATCCTGGGGCCTCGGTCATCGTTGTTCTAATGCCGTCCTGTGAGTCGCGCAACGCACGCGCGCGCGCACCCCTGCAACTTGCACAACACACGGCGGTTCCTGCATTGTCGTTGTCCGTGTTACTGTAGGCCAGATGCTTTGGCCGCTTTGTACGAATGGGTCGGGCACGTCGCAGGGTAGTTTTATAGATGCATCTTTTGATATGCAAGCCTGCGTGTATGCATGCACATATGCCGCTCCTGGCTCGTCTGTCCAGGAACGGGGACGGACCCTTCTAAGAGGCCCTCCGTTCAGAAGGCCCCCCCTCTCGCCCCGTGCCTTCTGCGCGCCGCCGACGCAGCCCGCTGGCATTCTCGCTCTCGGCCGACGCCTTCGAGGCCGCGCAGGGCGTGGCCGATGGCGTCCTCGTGAGAGCGGAGGTGCAGGGCACGGTTCGACCCGACCCGTCTGGCTCGACATCGGCGATGTCACTCCCCGTGGGCTCGACTCGATGCGGTTTCGGGGCTCAAGAGACGGGGGTCAATGCAAACGGGGGTCAGTCAGAGAGCCGGATCTTGCAGGATCCTGCAGGGCCAGGGTCGCATTGGCCCAGGCTTGGGTGCAGGATCTCGCAGGAGCTTGCAGGATCCTTCTCGTTGACCCGGGCTAGGTGCAGGATCTTGCAGGATTCTGCAGGATTCTGCAAGGCCTGACTGACCTGGGTCTGGAGTGACCCGGGTCAGAAGATCCCCGACGCTTCCAGCGTTCTGAGGATTTGGTTTTCCCCGACGCCTGCGTGGCGCCGTTGCGCATCATGGCGCGGCCGGTCCGATGCGATCCCGTCTCCATGCCAGCGCCGCCCGGTCCGGCGGGCGCCTCCGATCGGAGGCGCCCGCGGCGGTCGACAAGCCGGGTCGGGTCGACCTGGCCTGGCTTGTCGACCCGGTGCGGGCCGCTCCGGAGGTGCCGCCCGACGAGCTGCAGAGCGGCGCGGGCTCGCTCTTCCTGCAGCTGTTCACGACGAGCTACTGCAGCCGCGCGGAGGCGGTGGAGACGTCTTGGCTCCCGGGGGGCCACGAGAGACATGGCCAGCGGAGCAATTGGTGGAGGTCCGCGCGGACCTCGGGCCGCGTCTCCGGCGCCCCCCCTGGGCGCGTGGCGCGCTCCAGGGAGGGGGGCTCTGGCGCCGACCCAAGAGATCCGCGCTGGCACCCACAAGTTCGGGTTTCTACACTCGGGGCGGTGCAGAAGGAACCCGTTTCGTTGGGGAGGGGCTCGGTGTGTCTTGAGTGTTTCACAGTTTGCCTCGGGTTTTTCCCTGAGGTCTTCCATGGAGGTTGAACTTATGGAAAAGTGGGGCCTCGTTCCTTATTTCGGGTTACTTAGGTCAACGCCCCGACTGTAGCATCGCCGACGCATCGGCGATGCATCGGCGACGCCGACGTACACCTTAGGCGATGCTTAAGAAAACTTAGATTTTCGGCCAGAGTCTCGTTTATTCTTAATGTTTCAATGTAAATCCTAAAATTTGAATAGAATTTTTGGGTTTTTATTCAACTTCTGAGACTATGAATTTCTTAACCCATGATTTCTTAAGCATTTCGCAGGGTGTAGAGAGAATCGGGCTCCACATTGAGCCGCATCGCAAATGCATCGGCGATGCGGCGCGATCCTCCAGCCCCAACCTGCGGCAGGTTCGCGTCGTGTCGACCGTCGGCGACCGCGCCGCCTGAGATTCAACGTTGAACGCCGCTGGCGACCCAGAATCGGCCGATGTTGAACGATCGGAAGCTTCGAAAGCGGCCGATCGTTCAAGTCGAATAAGAAACAACTGCAGGAACATAGACTTTCGACGGCCCGCGCGGATTTCTTGGATCTGCGCTGGACCCCCCTGGCGGCGCCTCCGGCGCCGTCCCTGGCGCGCCCCGCGGGCCAGGGAGGGGGGCCCAGCGCGGATCCAAGAAATCCGCGCGGACCGTCGAAAGTTTATGCTTGAGCCGTTTTGTATTTTTGCCGATCGGCGCGGGCCGGGCCCTCGCACCCCCCCCCCATGGATTAGATCTTGGGCTGTTTTCGGCGCCTGTTTCGGGCAGGTGGAGCCTCCCCCATAATGGACGCCCTGCTGCAAACAGTCGCATTAAGCAGAGGTCCGGAGCCACCAATACACCAATACATCAACATTTTACGGCGTCAATAGCCAATGGAGGGGACCGAGGACCTCCCTGCAACCCCTCGGCCAACGAAGACGGCTGCAGGGACGGGTCCAAACGTACCCCCACCTTCATGCACTAGTCAACCAATACACCCGAAAACCAACTCCTCAGATCCCCCCCCCCCCATTCCGCCCAAAAGTCGAGACCCCCCCTCCCTCCCTCCTCCTCCCCCCCCCCTCCCTCCCTCCCCTCCCTCCCTCCCTCCCTCCTTCCCCCCCCCCATTCCCAGACCCAGACCCCAGAGCCAGACCCCCCCTCCCTCCCTCCCTCCCCCCCCCCCCCATTCCGCCCAAAGTCGAGACGGCGCATAGAAAATCAAACGCTCACTCTTTCGTCTGTGGATCGAGGCTCAACGATCCCCGCGGTGTGGGGGTCCCACGCCGGGGTCGGCACGGGCCGGGCCTGCCGTGTGCCGCTGTTATCTCTCCTGCGAGGTTCGCCGAGGCGGGCGTCCCTCCGCCGAGCAGCGCCGTGCGGCTCTCCACGCTCTGCCCCGGCTGCGCACAAGAGCCCAGATCTCCGACGAGCTGTCTATCGATCTGTCCCTCCATGTGTCTGTCTATCTGTATATATATATATATATATAAATATATATATGTATATATCGATATATACACACCTGTCTATATATACGTAGCACCCCGCAATTGCGGATAAGAGTGAGGGGGCGGGCGCGGGCGACGCGGGCGTCGTCGAGCCGGCGGACCTCGTGGCCCCCACCTTCCTTGTCGATGGCGCTCTCCTCCACCTCCTCCTCCTCCTCCTCTTCCTCCTCCTTCTCCTCCTCCTCTTCCTCGTCCTCATCGTCATCGTCATCCTCCTCCTCCACCTCGTCCTCCTCCTCCTCCTCCTCTTCTTCCTCGTCCTCCCTCTCCCCCCCTCGTCTTTTCATCATGGTCCTCCCATTGTCGTCCTCCCCCTCATCGGCCTCCATCATCGTCCTCCCATTGTCGTCCATCATCATCATCATCCTCCCCCTCCTCCCCCTCCTCGTCCTCCTTCTCCCCCTCCTCCCCCTCCTCCCCCTCGTCCTCCTGCTCCTCCTCCTTTTCTTTCTCCACGTTCTCCTTACATTATCTCTTCTTCCTCGTTCTCCTCGTCCCCTGTTTACTCATCCTGCCTCCCCCTCCTTTCCCAAGATAACTGCAACGCAATCCTTTTTTCCACTTTATGCTCCCCGCCTTCTCTGATCAAGGCAACTCGCCAGGGCAAAGTTGCTGGACGGGCTGGCGTGGATGTGCGGGGCGTGAAGAGGTCCTTGCGGGCTCAGACGGCATGCAAGAATCCGCCGCCGCGCTTGTGCGGCATTGGTTTGTTCAGTGAACGTGGTTTAGGTCGCGAGTGGGTCGCGGGCTCTCCACCTCCACCTGGAAGGAATTCAAAAGCAGCCCGCCGCAAGCGCCAGAAAAATTGGTTCGTACACGGAACGAGGTTTGGGTCGCGGGTGGGCCGCGGGTTCTCCACAGGGAACGAATGCAAAGGATGCCCGCCGCAGGCGCCGAAAATGTGGTTTGTACCCTGAGCGTGGTCGCGGGTGGGCCGCAGGCTCTCCACCTGAAACGAATGCAAAATATGCCCGCCGCAGGCGCCGAAAAATGTGGTTTGTACCCTGAACGTGGTTTGGGTCGCGGGTTGGTCGCGAGTTGGTCACGGGACGTGTCGCGGGCTCTCCACTTGGAAGGAATGCAAAAAAGCCAGCCGCAGGCGCCGAAAATTGTGGTTTGTACCTTGAAAGTGGTTTGGGTCGAAGGTGGGTCGCGGGTGGGTCGCGGGGTAGGTCGCGGGTGGGTCGCGGGTGGGTCGCGGGTGGGTCGCGGGTGGGTCGCGGGTGGGTCGCGGGGTGGGCCGCGGGGGGGTTGCGGGGTGGGTCGCGGGTTGGGTCGCGGGGTGGGTCGCGGGGTGGGTCGCGGGGTGGGTCGCGGGGTGGGTCGCGGGTGGGTCGCGGGTGGGTCGCGGGTGGATCGCGGGGTGGGTCGCGGGGTGGGTCGCGGGTGGGTCGCGGGGCGGGTTGCGGGTGGGACGACGACAACAAACAACAACAACAACAAACAACAACAGCAACAACAAGAATCCGCACCGCGGAATTCCACATCAGCCACGCACCCAGGGACAGTGAATGACCGTTCGGCCCCCTCACTCTGATATATATATATATATATATATATATATATATAAGCATCGATCTATTGACATATGTATATATATTTATATGTGTACACCGATCTATATAACGAACTGTGTATATCTATATACATATATCGCGAAGGCCTTACGGCCGATGCCGCCGACTCTGTAGGTAGCGAAAACGAAGACAATGGAGGTAGAGGGATCCAAGATGCCCCCAGATGGCTCGAAGACGGCGCCAGATGCCTGCAAGAACGTCCGAAGACAGCTCAAGAGGCCTCCCCCAGGGTTCGGCAACGGCTCCAGAGAGTGTCAAGATAGGCAAAGAGCGCTCAAGTGGCCCGAGCGGGTCCCAATACGGCGCCAAGCGAGGTCCAATATCGCCCGCAGAGGCTGTCAAGAGTGCCGCCAGAGGCTGCCAAGAGAGTCTAAAAATGGCGAAAGGTCTGCAAGGAACCTTAAGATAGGCTGAAAGGGCCCGCACACGGCCCCGGGAGGCCAACGGAACCCCAGGACGCAGGAGGATGAGAGGCGGGGGGCTGCGTATCCGAGGGGGGGCTCCCCCGGGAGTCGCCCCGGGACCCTCCCCCCCCAGACCGCGTCCCCCCCCCGGCCGGGAAGGGATCAAGGGACGGGGCTTGAAGGACGACGTTGTTCAATTTTTGTGTGCACTCGTGTAGGGAACCTTCGGAAAGCAGTAGAGGCGTCGACGCTGTGGGGAATACGGAAAAGCCTCTCCCACACGCCGACAGGGTCGGCGGATATGTATAGATCGATCGTTCACGCGATACGTCTCTATACGCATATCGACTTATACATATATATATATATATGTACATGTACATATATATATACATATATATATATATGTATATATATATACTCCTCTTCGAATATTCTTATATCGGAAAACCGCGGGTGACCCCCCCCGTACATAAATTCGGGCCTGGGCGCTCCCATCGGCAAGAAATTCGGGCATTCGGTTCCGGAGGCCCCTCTCGGTCATCCCAAGCCGCCCTGGCGAGCTCAAGATCGCTCCCTGGACGGTCCCGCGGAGCACCGAAACAGCCCAAGACCGCTCCAACACGCCCATGATGGTCTCCGGACGGCCCAGAAGGCCCCCAAGACGCCCCACGAGAGCCCATAGGTCACCGCCAAGCGGGCCCCAGAAGCCCAAATTCGTAGAATTCCTATACGCTTTTCATGATTTTCAACGTGCTCGCTTTCTCGACTTCTCGACCACGCAAGACGGTCAAACAGGCCCCCAAGATTGCCCCAAGACGCCAGAAGTGGTTCCCATGAGGGCCCCACAACGGCCCAACAAGATGGCCCCAAGATGGCCCAAGACGGCCCAAGACCACCCAAGAAGCCCCTCCAAAAAGGACCAACGGAACTGACCTTTCGAGCTCTTCCCCCAAATATGGCCCCACAGTCGCCGAGGGGCCCCAAAAAAGCCCTCCGAGGGTCCCAGAGAGCCCCAAGAGACCTCGACGACGCCTTCCCAGCCCAACACATGAGCTCAAGAGCCCCCCCCCTGGGAGGCCACACAGATGCTTCAATGAGGTTCCTTACCCGGCCCAAAGCACTTCCGCACGGCCCACGAGAGCCCCAAGACGGCCCAACAAAGAGCCGTCAGTGTCCCCAACGGCTCCCAAAAGCCCCCCAAGACGGCCACGGGAGGCCACAACAACACCTCACAGAGTTTCATGACGGCCGTGAGCCCTGTGAGCCCTACACGCCCCATCAGCCCTACGCTCCCTATGAGCCCTACGAGACCTACGACGCCTACGAGCCCTCTGAGCCCCATGAGCCCCATGAGCCCTATGACACCTCCGAGCCCCGTGAGACCTCCGACCTCATGCGCCTTGTAAGCCCTATGAGCTCCGTGGCCCCTGTAAGCCCTACAGGCCCCATGATCCCTGTGAGCCCTACCATCCCTACGGGCCCTATGAGCCCTACACGAGCCCTATGAGCCCCATGAGCCCTATGACACCTCCGAGCTCCATCACCCCTACGAGCCCCATGAGCCCTAAGAGCCTTATGAGCCCTACCAGCCCGACGACCCCTACGAGCCCTACGACCCCTGCGAGCCTTACAAGTCCTACAACTATGAGCCCAATGAGCCCTACGAGCCCTACGACCCATGTGAGCCTTACGAGTCCTATGAGCCCTAGGATGCCTATGGACTGTCTGGCCCCTGTGCCCCTTGCGAGCCCCACGAGTCCTCTGCACCTGGTGAGCCTCACGAGCCACATGAGCCCTCTACCCATATGCCCCCTGAGACCCCTATGGGCCCCATGAGCCCTACGACCCCTACGAAACCTATGAGCCCTATGAGTTCTACGACTCTGAGAACCCCATGACCCCTACGAGCTTAGGAGCCCGATGAGCCCTGCGAGTTTCATGACATTTCCTGGCCATATTAGGCCCGCAACCCCGCACCCATCCCCCAACCCCTACACTCCCTACATGCCCGAGGGGCAGGCGCAGTTCTGCCATGAGCCCCATGAGACCTACGGGCTCCCGGGCCGTATGAGCCCAATGAACCACAGGAGCCCCATGAGCACTATGAGCCCTACGGGCACCATGACCCCTATGAGCCCCACGGCCCCCGCGGGCCCTACGACCCCCTACGAGCCATGTATGGCCTTTGAGCCCCATGAGCCATAGGAGCCCTACAGGCCGTATAAGCCTTATGAGGCCTATGAGCCCCAGGAGCCCTATGAGCACTACGAGCCCTGCGGGCCCCATGAGCCCCATGAGCCCTATGAGCTCTATGGGCCCTGCAGGCCGCGTGAGCCCTACGAGCCTTATGAGCCCCAGGAGCCCCATGAGCACTATGAGCCCTACGGGCGCCATGAGCCCTATGAGCCCTATGGGCTGGACGATTCCAATGAGGCCAATGAGCGCTACGGGCCCGGAGGGCTCAACGAGCTTCATGGGCCACATGAGCCTGTGAGCCATGTGAGCCCTATGAGAACCCTTGGCCTCATGAGCCCTATGAGCCCTATGATCCTATAGGCCTTATGAGCCTTATGACTGCTGTGAGCCGCATGGGCCTCATGAACCTGATGAGCCCTATGAGCCCCGCGGGCACCACGAGACCTATGAGCCCAATGAGCCCTGTGAGCCCTATGAGCCCTAGAAGCCCTGCGAGCCCTACGAGCCCTATGGGACCATGAGCCCCATGAGCCCTATGAGCACTGGAACCCTGTGAGCCATATGAGCCCTACGACCCTTGTGAGCCTGACGAGCCCTGCGATCCCTGTGGCCGCATGAGACCCAATGAGTCCTATGAGCCTTCTGAGCCTCACGGACCTTACGAGCCCGATGATTCCCAAGAGCCGATGACCTCACGGAACCTCAGGATTCCTACAGTTCCGATGAGTCCTATGACACCCATGACCACTTCCCGAATCGCACCGCGGCAGTGACGACTGCCGGTCCCATCGCGCCTCTCTGGCGCCATGCGACCAAGATTTTAAAGGCGAAGCGAAGCGAGCCAGTAACATCTTGTATATATATATATGTATATATATTGATCGATCCATACATCTATCTACTGATCTAAACGTGTAGATATATACATACATGTGGCGGGTTCCAGGGAGGGGCCCACCTTCGAGGGATCGAGAATTTGACATCTCTTCCTTGGCGGAAGGTCGGCGGAAGCTGGCGGGAAGCTATCCGGAAGTTGGAGGAAGTAGAAGATGCGTTCCCAAGAGATGGCAACATTTTTGAGTGCAGGGTTTCCGGAACCCGCCACATATACACATACAGGTTACGAGCGATATCGACATATAGATTCATACACATATATATATATATATATATGTGTTACACATTTATATGTATATATATATAGATTTGTGTATGTGTGTACGGGGGGGAGAGAGAGAGAGAGAGAGATAGAGAGAGAGAGAGAGAGTGTTGTGTATATGTGTGTATGCTCGCGTGTGCAAATGATTGGTTCGTTCCTGGAGTTCTCTTCGACTCCGCCGACAACAAACAGGTCCGGACCTCTCGGTCGGCTCCCCGACGCTTCCCGCCCCCGGGATGCTCTTCAGCGGCTGCGCCTCGTCGAGAGCGCTTTTCCATGGGGGTGCCACGCTCGTCGCAACCGCTGGAGGTCAGCTGTTGCCCAGAAGCCACGGGGGGGACCCAGATCTCCGAGGACCTGGCTGGTGTCCATCCTCCTCCTCCACCCTCTCCCCCTGCTCCTCCTCCCTCCCTCTCTCCTCCTCCTCCTCCTCCTCCTCCTCCTCCTCCTCCTCCTGCCCCTCCTGCCCCTCCTCCTCCATCCTCCTGGCGTTCTGCCCTGATCTCGGCCTCGTGGGGCCCGTGGTCGGGCACCTGGGCCCTCGAACGCGGATCCGGGGCGCAGGGCGCTCCCCCCGGGGGGGGGCGGGGGGAGCGGGGCCTCCCCCGAGGGGATGTGGCCGGTGGCCCTCCTCCCGGCGTCTTGCCCGGACCTCGGCCCCGTGGGGCCCGCTGCCGGGCGCCACTGGGCCCTCGAGCACGGCTCCGGAGCGAAGGGCGCCCTCCCGAGGGAAGGGGGGCCACGCATGGAGGATCATTTACCAGTTTGAAGCATTCCTTATCCCTATGTTTGACATCACCTCACCTGGATGCCGATCTTAAGGATTCCCTCAGTTTCTGAGGGCCTATCCCTAAGATTGTCCTCGCTTGTTGCTCGCCCATCCTAGGGATAGGGATATGTTCGAGGGAGGCCCGGGGCTGACCACTTCCCCGATTCCTGGCTGGGCCCCTCCTGCGTGCATGCCCTCACGGGCTTGGCCAGGGAGGCGATGCCCTTCGAGGTCGTCGAGTGTCTGGGGAGGTGCCCTTCGCCTTGAGTGGCCGCGGGGGCGCTGCTCCCAGGGGGTCGGCCGAAGCCACGCCCGCGGCTGCCGCATCGTGCGCGCAGTGGTCGGCAGTTCCCGCGCCAGAGGCCACCCCTGCCCGGGGAGGGCCGCTCTTGCGCGCAGCCGGCCCTCGACGACTTCCTCGCCGGGCACGGAGGCCTCGTCGTCGGAGGGCGCCGGCGGGCCCACGCCTCGCCGACGCTGGCCAGGCACGCCCTGGGCCCAGGGACCTGGGCATCGCGTGGGCGTGTGCGCTCTTCTCGGCGAGGCCAGCGTCAGAAAATTTTGACCATCTGGGTGCATCTGGTGCCGCCCTCGCGGACAAAAGGCATCGCACGAAGCCGGCAGATGCGCGGGGAATGGACGTCCGAGCGATGGCAGGGCATCGGTGTATATATACCCCCTCCCGGCTTGGCCAGGAAGGCGATCCCGCACCCAGGATCGGTGGGGATGCGCCCTGCCTCCCAGTTGGGGACCGAGCTGATGGGGCCGGGGGATCGCGCCGCCTCTCCGATGCGTCGGCAATGCGGCTCGATGTGGAGCTCGACGTTCTTCACGTGGACGTCGCCGAAGTATCGCCGACGTCGACGATGCGGCTCGATCCACCGACCCCATCTACAGTCAAAGTCCATAGTAAGGATGCGCTGCTTCATCGAGGCTAACCGTGCATCATTGCTTCGTCGGCCCATCCTGAGCCAACTTCGGTGTCCAAACAGCTCTAAATGGTAAATTGCCTTCCGAGGGTCTTGCATCCTTACCCAGTTGCGCTGCCGCGCGATTCCGCCACCGCGCTCAGGCGGGCGCGGGGGGGGGGGGGCATTGGGGGGGGACAGAGGGGGGGCCACAGAACCCTCCCACCCTAGGTTTTGCATTCGGGGCCACATTCATTTTCAGCCTTGAAGGCCAAAGCACCAGCACTCGGTCACAAACGTGGGCGCACTTGGGGCTCCCAGCGCTGGGGAGCGCCAGCCATTGTTGCGCAAAAGGAGTCAGGGCCCGACGCACACCCACCGCTGCAGCTGCAGGCGCGGTGGCGCACTCCTGGGGTCGCCACGAGGGTGCGAAGTTCGTCGCGCCTCGGTCTGGGCGGTGTCGGAGCGAGGCGCGAGGCCCTCGCGCTGTTCCAGGGAGGGGGGGGTGGCGGCGGCGCGAAGCCGTGCAGATCCTCGCGCTGCGCGGCGCGCGAAGCGCGAAGAGAGATGCCCTACAAAGGCGGACACTGCACCCTCACTGCACATGTTGGTGAAACACTCCTTCCTCCTCCTCCTCCTCCTCCTCCTCCTCCTCCTCCTCCTCCTCCTTCTCCTGGTGAATCGCGGGCCCTGGAGCGGAAGCCTCTCTCGGATCGGCCCGGGGCGGATAGGCGAGGCGGTCGGCCGACGCCCCCCGGTCGTCCGCGGCGAGCACGGGGACTCGTGCCTGCAGTACTTCGCGGGGGGCCCAGGCACCGTGTGGTGACGGGCCCCGAAGATCGGGCGACGAAATCTATACATATCCAGTGCTCCCTGACCATGCCCATCTTGAACCCAGGAGCTGTGGTATAGATTTCGTCGCCCTACGAAGAGTTCTGGGGGGCCCGGAACCCCCATCGATCTTGGCGTTGCAATTGTTTACACCGAGCGGGCGTTGCCGCCCGGTTTGGGGCCCCTGCGGCCTTGCAGGTCGATCCGGCTCAAGACACGACGCAGAAGGCTGGGGCATGGGGCTCCAGGCGTGATTTCTGATGACGTTCGAGTTTTTGCTCGCGCCGTCGGATCTCAGGGTCCGCGCCCCAAAATCGTACGGTGGCGGACCGCGGGGTGACCTCGGAATCTCCAACGACCTCACCGCGCGCTCCATCACCGCTCGGTCCTGGGATCCTGGAGGCCCCAATCGCCCAAGATGCCGTCGGAGTCCCAAAGCCGTGCAGGTGGCCCGGAAGCCCCACTGACGACTCACCACACGTCGTGGCTTTTGGACACGCGCTCGGGTCTCGGGCGGCCGTTCGGCACGATCCAGGCACCACGGGAGCGCTCTCGGCGAGGTGCAGCTGCTGGGAGGCATCCGAGGCGGAAGTCCGCCGAGATCTGGAGAAAATGCCAAGAAAGCCCAGCTGGGCGACAACAAACAACGGGTCCAATTGCGCCGACGCTCGTGCGCAAGCTGCCCGCATGAAGTCGCGCGTAAGCGCCCTCGCTCCCAGTGGAGCGTGCCGCGCTGGCGGCCCGCACAGGCGGCGGCGTCGGGTCGCTGTGCCATCTGGCGTGGGCACCGAGAGCAAACGAAAATGCCAGAAGACCCAACGGACTCACCATGATCGGGGAAACGTAAGACTCGGGTAAGCCGGAACTCGGGTTAGCTCACGTTTTTTTGGCGAGCGCGTCCTGGATTTTGACGTTCCGGTTTCCGTGGGATGTCTGCAGCGGGAGTTCGCGTCAAATTCCAGATTGGGTCTTTTCATGTTCAGGATTCGGGAGTGCGCAAACATGGATTAGCGATCCATGGACTTGGCGCGCCGTCGCCAAATCCATGGATCGGGGAGATGCCCTCCCCAACATGCGGCCGGTGCCGCCTCGCTCAGCAGCGACAGTCCGCGATGTCTTCTGGAAACGGGACCCGTCGCTCATCCACGCCTCCTTGATCCATGTCTGCGAGCGCCTGAGTGATCGCCCCGTCGGGCCAACCCGAGTCCCCCGCACCCGAGTCTGTCGTCCGAGCATTTTCTTTGGGTGGAGGGCAAAGGGTGAAATCTGAAATGCCGTTTCGATGGATCTTCGAGGCTTGAATTTGCAGACGGTGAATCACAAGGCGGATTGATTTTCGATGTGCAAAAGCCCATCTGGATCTGACCCTGAGCCCTCCACCCTGAGAAAATGCTGAGTTCGTCTCCCCGACGCGCGGCGTGGGCGTGGTCACCATACCGCCTGGGGGCCCCCCGAGCTTCATGCGCGCGGAGGTGTGCCTGCAGGCGCTCAGCTGCGTGCCGCTCCCGAGGCCCGCCGCGGGCCCCGCGCAGCTGGACGTCTGGCTGCCGACGCCCGTGGCCACGGCGTACCGCCTGGAGGCCTTCGTGTCGGCGGAGGCGTGCGAGGCCCAGGGGGCGCCCGAGCGGCCGCGGGGGCCACGCCGCGCAGAGAGTCGCCCCCGGAGCTCCGGCGAATTGAAAAAATCGGGACGGAGGTTTTCCGTATTTTTCGGTTTTTTTCGGGAGGTTTTCCGTATTTTTCGACCTGGGCCCGAAAACATCGAGACGGAGGTTTTCCGTAGGTTTCGGGCTCTCTCTAGGGGCCCTCGCCGGGCCCTGGGGCCGTCAACAACACGACTCAAGAGGAAAAGCCAGTCCTGGGGAATGGGTCGAGACTTCCGGGGGCCCCGCAATTGAAAAACATCACGACGTCGGACCTCTGGGTTTGAGCGAGGATCAGAAGCGGGTCTTACGCGAGGTGGCATGGCAGCCTTACGCCGCCGCCTGTGCGCGCCGCCAGCGCGGCACGCTCCACTGGAAGCGAGGGCGCTTACGCGCGACTTCATGCGGGCAGCTTGCGCACGAGCGTCGGCGCAATTGGACCCGTTGTTTGTTGTCGCCCAGCTGGGCTTTCTTGCCATTTTCTCCAGATCTCGGCGGATTTCTGGCCTCGGGATGCCTCCCAGCAGCTGCGCCTCGCCGAGAGCGTTTCCGGGGTGCCCAGATCGTCCCGAACGGCCGCCCGAGACCCGAGCGCGCGTCCAAAAGCCACACCGTGTGGTGGCTCCGTGGGGATTCGGGGCCACCTGCACGGGTTTGGGCCTGCAGTCGTCCGAGGGCGTCTCGGGCGACCGGGGCCTCCAAGGTCCCAGGACCGTGCTGTGACGGACTGTGCGGTACCAGACATGCGACGTACTGAGCTGTTGAACGCGCGGTCCCCGCCGGAAATCGCAACCGCCCCCACAAAGCCGTTTTTTGGATGGCCCTGTGGCCCAAGAGCCCCCCAGGGGCCGAAAAAAGGGAGAGAGACCCCTGTCGTGACGGAGCTTTGCTTGCACGACGCGAGCCTGCCTGGGTGAGGTTGGGGATGCCAAGGCCTCCGCACGGCCCGTCACCACAAGAGTGACGACCTCTGGTTCAGCCACGCGCAGAGGGGGGTCTTAGAAGCACCCCTGCTTCGGCTCGGCTTCGCGTCGACGCACACGCGACGCGGGATGACGCGCTAGGTCTGGGCCCCCCCTTTGCAGTTCGGCGGCGAGCGAGGGGGGGAAATGGGAAGTAGGAGGCCTTCTCAGAAGTCGGCGGGACTTCTCAGAAGCGGCACCCGTTGGGGGCCCCGCGAGAGGCCGCGCTCGCGGCGCCACCCGCCGGAGCCGCTCTCGGCGGCGCGGGCGGCGCGGTGGCGCCGGCCCTGCAGCAGAGGCCCGAAGAAGGAAAAACAGTACATAGGTTTGGAGCCGGCACCCCTATAGGGGTATCCTGACTATGTGGACGAAGGGTTTTTGAGATGGCGGATAATGGGTAATAAAAACCATTTTTTTATTCAATATATTACATATTGCGCACTGGTCTTTATTGGAAATCTGATAGCCAAAAGGTCTATCCCCCGCCTGAGGCGGCGGGCGCGGTACCCCTTAGGGGTATCCTGGGCCTCCTGGATGGGGTCCGAGTATAGGTGGGGTCAGAGGATGGCGCTGCATCGCCGACGCATTGGCGATGCATCGCCGATGCGGCTCGATGTGGGGCCCACTTTTCTCCACGCCCACGTCGCCGATGCATCGCCGACGTCAACTGTGCATCGACGGTGCACAGACGGTGCATCGGCGATGCATCTCCGATGTACCGGCGACGCGGCGAGACCCTCCGACCCCACCTAAGAGGCCTCCAGGTATGCAGTGGGGGCCCATGCCAAGGAGCACCCTGCTTGCGTCCAGGGTGCCCTGGGTGTCTTGGATTGCGGGTGTGCCCAGGAAGCTTCAGACCCTAGATGGCTCCTTATCTGAGGAGGGCGGCGATAATTTCCATGGCCAAGCCTCAACTGTTGTTCCACATGATTTCCTTCTCCCCTTCCTCCTTCTCTCCCCTCCTCCTCCTCCTCCTCCTCCTCCTCCTCCTCCTCCTCCTCCTCCTCCTCCTCCTCCTCCTCCCTCCTCCTCCCCTCCTCCCCTCCTCCTCCTCCTCCTCCTCCTCCCTCCTCCTCCTCCTCCTCCTCCTCCTCCTCCGTCCGCCTCCTCCTCCTCCTCCTCCTCCTCCTCCTCCTCCTCATCCTTCCCTACCATTTTGACTTGAGGCCAAATGGTGATTCCAGAACTGCCTATGCGGGGTCGGCTCCCATCCAGCAACAAAGTTCTGCAGCCACAATCAGGGGCGAGCTGCCGCCCACCTGCTTTCTTCATATTCATTCTTTGAAATACGCAGTGGTTTCGAAGCGGACCTGGCCATTGGCAAAGTTCTGAACAGCGGCCCGCTACGTCCTGTGTATACTACGACATCATGCCCGCCGCCTCCTCGAACAGGGATGACGTCTCCACTGGCTCCACGCCCCGCAGCCGTCGCCATGACCGCCACCATCGCCGCGAAAAGCCTCGCCGAGACGACCGCCGGCACGATGACCGCCAGCACCGCCGAGAAGAGCCTCGCCGAGATGGTCGGCGCGCCGCCCGCAAACACCTGGAACATCGTGGCCACACGGGCTTCAGCAGGCAAAGCTCCACAGCCGCAACCCCGAGCCGCAGAACGGAGCACTGCACGTCCGCCACCGACGCCTACCCGCAAGTCGGCCAGATCAGGAGGAAGTGCTGCGCCCGAGGCCCCCGCCTTAGCCATGAAAGATGACGATCAGCCACCACCTGGTCCTGCTGTTCCTGATCCCTTCGTGGGCGCCGCCGACCCTTGGGCCAACGCTAAGTTCGTCGAGTAGCAGCTGGGTCCCGCAGCCGCCGAACAGCTGGCACGAGACATCCAAGTGGCTCCCACCTTCGCACCTAAGCGCGCTGCCGCACCAGCCGCTGGCCACGCTGGCCCAAGGTCAGAACATGAACCACATCACACGCCTACAGAATGGCATGGACCGCGACCTGGGGTCCCTGGAGATCTGGATGTCGCCCTTCGTGAACCCATGCAACGCCAAATCGCTACTGCCGCTACTCGGTTTAAGCACAAGCCGACCAGCTTCTCGTTTGCCGCTACCGAGCGTTGGGTTGATGGACTACGAAGCCCGCACGCGCAGAGAACAAGACCGCCAAGCTGCAGAACGCCAGCGAATGTGGCAACATATCAACCAGATGCGCGACACGCTGGCTTTCGCCGAAGCGCAGACGCCGATCACGGACCTCAGCCGCCTTGCCGAATGGGGCCGCCAACATGACCCGCCGCTCTTCACCGTGGGCCGCCAGCGTCTCATCGCGCCGAACGTCTTGCTCGACGACCTCCAGGAGTGGATCGCAGAGGCCAACAGTCACAGGAGACAACGCTGTTGCAGTGCCCCGCGCCCTGGCTATCTCGCGTGCCATGCGAAATGCAGCATGGCAACGGAAGCGCATTACCTCTGCCGACACCACAGGCCAGCCAGTCGACATCCATCTCAACCCTGACAAGCCACAAGCAGATCGTAACAGATATCCAGGCCAAGAAGCTCTGACAGCTCACGCAGCAACGCTACCCTCGCCAACGATGGAGAGCCTGCCGCGCCAAGGGAGAGATCCACTGCGACTCCATGCCCGCCGTCAAGATCATCGTCCGAGGCTAGGCCGACCCCTCCATCTTCAAGTGGAACGAGCAATTCGACAACCCGCAGCGCCAGTGCATCGACCGCGGCAATATCCCCACTGCCTTCCAGGCGCTCTTGCTGACGCGGAGACAGCCACTTGCCGTTCCTAACCACCACTGGGCTCCTTGGCGGCACGGCGACGCCACGGAGCCGACTACCATCGTCACCTGGAACGCGCGGGCCCGCATGTGCTACGAGGGCGGGCGCCGCCGTCGCAAACGAGCTGCCCTCGCCAAGTACATGGCGCGCAGGTGCGTGATCGCGCCCCAGGAGGTCCCCGGCCCCGAGGCTCTGCTCTGCACCTGGGTCGACACGCAGCCGTGCCCGTACAAGGCCTTCTTCTCGGAGTTACCCAGCGTCGACGGCGACAACTCCACGCGCGGCGTTGCCGCGCTCGCGCCGTGGCTCTCGCCGACGGGGCTGGGACGCCGCATCACCTACCATTCTTTGACCACGACGAACTCGTTCCTGGACGCGTCCACCTGCTCGCGATCACGCACGCCGTCGCGCGCGCCACCATGGATCGTGAATGTCCACAACCGCGACATGGCCGTCGACGACCGCCGCAAGATCCAGCAGGCCTGGGAGCATAACTGCACGTGGGCGGAGGCGAACCACCGCATGCGCACCTGCATTGCGACCGGGGATTTCAATGCAGACAGCCGCCCGCCACAGTGCTTCTCCCAGCCGCGGCCGCAGAATGCGCGCCTCGGCCTCGACGACAGCGCGCGCCAGCAGCAGCCGTTCTGACGGGCCCTCTTTGGTTCTATGATTGCGATCGAGACAGACCTCCCGACGTTCTTCAACCGCTCGAACTACGCCGCTTCCACCATCGACCGCGTCTCCATCAGCCCCCCCTCGCACGCCACGGGCGGGCTCGCGATCGACGCGAAGGTTGCCTACGACGCCGCGCTGCTCTCGGGCGACCGCGTCAGCGACCGCGCGATCATCGCTTTCTCCATCGGGATCAAGCCGCGCGCGCCGCTGATCGAGCAGGCCATCCACCCGTCGATCTTCTGCGGCCCGAACTACGCCGTCTACTTCCAGCAGCTGCTCGACGCCGCGAAGACCGACCGCGTTTCTACAGATTGCCGCTGGTGCACACACAAGAGGCTCATAACTGAAGCTGCCCAGCTGGTTCGTGACGATTGGGTTCGACAGGCCACTGGTGACGCCAACAAGTCGGGCTGTCTCGCTGGGCGCGTCTTCACCGCGCGCTCCATCTCCAGGGCCGTCTGGCGCCAAGATCTTCAACGCGCTCGCCGCGTCGCCGCCGCTGAGCTGGGCGCCAAGTACCTCTCGGTCGCCAATAGCGCCGCCATGCTTCGCGACCCCCTCGACTTCGCCACCCGGGCCGCGCAGCTGAACCGTGACCTCGAGGCCAGGCGACCCCCCCTTGCCTAGCAGGCAGCTCGGCGCCCCCAGGGGCAAGAAGGAGCCATGCCACCATTCCGTCTGGTCATGCGGCCCCGGCCCCCCAGCGTCGGACCCCACTTTGGGCCCCGTGGAAACGCCGCCTGGTCATCCAGAGAGTCAAGATCACAGACCCTGATGGGCCCCAGACTGCTAGAGAGAGCGGCCCCATCCCTACGCGCTCACTGGCAGCCCGTCTTCGCCGCGCAGCATGCCGACGTCGCCAAGGTTGCCGATTGCATCCGCGCGCGCAGGCCGAAGGGCGACTTCTTTGACACCGGGGCGCCTGCCAAGCCCAGATCAAGGCTTTCCTGCGCAGAACATCGCCGTCGGCCCCTGTCCAGACTGCCGGCCGTGCCCCGCCTGGCTCGCGCAACAGGCCTCGCTCGACATGCTCGAAGACCTTTCCTTCTTCCTGTTCGGGCCAGTACTACATCCGCGACCTGAGCGACTCCGACTTTGCCTTCCCGCCGAAGGGCGATAATGCGCAGGGCGAGCTCACCGCTGACAGGGCGCCTGAGGACACCCGCCCGCTCTCGCTGAAGAACGGGGACATCAAAGCCACCGCAGGAGCCGCGAACTTCATGATCAAGGGCGCCGTGACAGAGCGCACCCATAGCGCGCGGCAGGGCTTCGTTCAGGGACGCAACTTCACCGAGCGGGCTTCGACGCCGAGACGCGCCGTGCTGGATGCCTGCCGACTCCAAGCCCGTCTTCGCCAGCTTTGACTTCTCGGCGGCCTTCCCTGTCCTTGGGGCGGGACTGGCTTTTCATCGCGCAGGGGCACTTCGGCTTCCCGCAGGGCATCCTGAACCTCTTCCATGCCATATACTTCGCGCCCACCAGCTACATCAAGATCGACGGCGCGCACCACGACACGTTCGCGATCGGCCCAGAGGGCTGCAGGGCTGCCCTGCATCAGGCTCTGATTGGGCGATTGCCATGGACCCGATCATCCGCCACCTCGCGTCGTCTGTGGAGCAACCGAACGGCGCGCCGAACCTGGGCGTTGGCTACCTGGGCGCACGCGCTGACGACATCGCCCTGCTGACGAACTCGTTCGACACGCCGCGACAAGTGACCGCCCCGTTTGCCGCTGCGGAGGAGCTTGCGCTCCTCCCTTTGAAGCCGCGCAAATGCTCTCGTACCTCTCTGGTCCGCCGCGCCCCCAGCCACCATCGCCACCGCGACAGCGCTCCTGACCGAACTCGGACCTCCATGGGGCGGCTTTTCGGTTGCGGGGCGTGCCAAGTACTTGGGCAAAGTTTTTCGGACCTGAGGCTTCACTGGCCTGCCAATGGCTCGCCCCTGGGCAAAAATGGTGACGGGGTAAGCTGCTTCAGCTCGTGCAGAGTGGCAGTGACGCCACAACTCGCTCACACAATACATCGGTGCTGACTATGCTTAGCTATGTCTCGCAGTTCTTCCCCTCTGATGCTTTCATTGCACGCCGTGAATTGTACGTCTTCCACAATGTGCTGAGCTTGCCGCCGAATTCTTTTCGCAAAGTAGACCTGATCGCCATGGCGGGTTCGAGCCCGCCACCAGTTGTCCAATCTGCCCATGTTCTAGTCAACCCTTAAAGTGTGTGCACTTTCATGGGTGGGAAAATTGACGAAAGGGCTGGAGCTGCCCGGTCTGGGTGCTCACGTCTTGGTTGCCTCCCAGGGGGGCTGCGGACTGGCCGCCTGGTGCGGCGTGCTGCTGCTGCTGCGGCTGTTGCTGCTGCTGCTCTGCCGTCCGTCGGTCGCTGTCGTCTGTCTGTTGGTCGTGTCTGTCGTGTGTCCTGGGCCTGGCTGCCCTGTCCGGCGGCGGCGCTCTCGGCCAGGCTGCCGTGGCGGCGTTGCCGTTGGAGGCCCCTGTGTGGCCTGGGGGTTTCTTGCTCCGCGCAGTCCTGTTGGCCGCAGGTGGTGGTGGGCTCCGTGCGGCTGTGCCCGCGCTGGCCGTTTCTCCGTCTTCCGTTTTCGTGTTGGGGCAAAGCGCGGGGGAGGCAACCAACTAGGCTCTGCCAGTGATCCTCGCTTATGCCGTGGGCGAGGCAACCAAACAGGCTCTGCCGATGACCCCTGCGCAACGTGGGTCCCTGGCCTTGCTGCCAAACCCCAGGCCCGTGCCCTTGCTGGCCAGCGCCTCCCTCGTCACTGGCGGGCGCTTGGTCGTCACTTTCGCCAATGTGTTCGGGTACCTGGCGCATGCAGGTCCCTGGCCCGTGCCCTTGCTGGCCAGTGCCTTGCACAGCTGGGTCCCTGGCGCAAGCCAAACCCTGGGCATGTGCCCTTGCTGGCCACCGCCTTCTCGTCGCAAGCTGGCGTCCCAGGCTGCCGGTTGCTTGCGGTCCTCGTGGCCGCGCGCTCTCGCGCGCGTTGCCAATGTGAAGGGTTCTTGGCAAGCGCTGGCCGCGCCCTGGCTGGGGGTCTCTGGCGCAAGCCACCCCCAAGCCCGCGCTCTTGCGGGCCAGTGCTCTGCACCTGCGCGGGGGCTGCTGCTGTCTCGTCGCAGGTCTGCCGGCCAGGGCCGCTCGCCGCCGCTCCTCGTCGCCGGTGTGTGGTTTTGTGCTGGCTGGTGTGCCTCGGTCTGCGTTTCCTTGCCTGGGTCGCCGGTTCTTTTGGTTGGTGCCCCTCGCCGCCCTGTTGCAGTGCCCTGGCCGCTGCCAGGCCTCCGGTGCTCGTCGGCAGGGGCAGGTGCGTGGAGGCGTTCTCTGGGCCGCGCTCAGTATTGCATTTGGGGCGTGGTTCTGCGCAGTTCCATGCAAGCGCGGCCAGTATTGCTCTCGGGTGCGCTGGCGCGCAGGCATGCGCGGAGAGGGACGCGGATTCGCGCGTGCTCTCAGCAAAAAGCCATGCGTTGTGGCAGGGTGCCGCTCTTTTTGGGTTCGGCGTTCGTTTCTTGCGCGGTCTCGCGCGTTCAAAACGCAATCGTTGATTGCGTGTGGTGTCGACGCACGTTCGAATGTGGCGCGACCTCGCCGAATCGGCGTGTGCAAGGTGCAAAGCGCGGTCTCTCGCAAGTGGCGCGATTTCGCGCCTGTGGCCGCATTTCGTGACCAGCGATATGTGCGCAATCCGCCCGTTTACGGGAAGTTGCAGTCCGGAGTGTTTGGTTGGTTGGTTTCGCGTCGTCGGGCGCGAAAACTGGGATCTGCGCGCTGGCTGCACATTGGCTGCAGTCGGGCCGCCGCGTAGTCCGGACCCGCGAGCCAGAAGGAGGGGCTACGGACACTTTGGGCACTCGGGGTCGGATGTGTGCAGGCGGCAGAAGCTAGTCCTTAATGGGGGGGCATTGGCTAACCCCCCACCTGCACACAACGAGGGCGGGCGTGCTTTGCACTTGTGCAGCGCGCCCGTGCTCGACCGACTCCGGGGGGCCTGCGTCCCAAACGGCGCGTACTCGGAATATCCATGCTGACGCCCGTTCACCAGCGAACTCAGAATTAAATTCTGGTGCGGCTGCTAAAAATTCGGCAGCTGGGGCTGCAAGTGGAAGGATTTCCCATGGGAATTTGCCCCATCGGATTTCGGTAGTTTTCGGCCCAGCAGGAGATTCAGGTCGGCAGACTGAACAGGCTGCCCAGTTAGCGTGGGGTCGGCCAGCATCGCCATGTAGCGAGGGACGTGCGCAAGCCCTCTCGCAGATCGTCCAAATGGACACGGTCGCCTAAATGGGGCGCTCCATCCATCATGTCATTCTGTCTGTCTTTCGCATCGCACGCTTCGATGGGCAGTCTGTTTCAGCCCGGCTTCCTATGACGCCGTCTGCTGGCCTGGGTGGTGCATCCAGGCCGCAGAGGGGGATAGGAGGCGGGAGGGTCTTCTGCTCATTTCCCTGACACAGCAAGCACATCGTCTCAGCGCCGGTCACTGGCTGTGCGGCTGTCTTGCGTCCCTGTTGCCTTTGAGGCTCGAGTGTCGCAACAGTGCATTGTCCAGTTGAGTGTCTGTACGGTTCTTTGCCTCTTCCAGAGAGCGGCATGGCGTACACTCCTGCAGACATCGTGGCAGATCTGGCCACATTGCCCGAAAGTGCTTTCGCTGGTGCGTCCGAGGACTCGCGGAACGCGTTCGTGGAGTTCGTGGCGTGCGTGGACGAGAACGCCCGGGCAAAACACGACATCCGGTTCTACACTGGCGTTGCGCGTGCCATGGCTGAGGTGGTTCAATCCGTGCACACAGAGGATTTCGCAGACGAGTTCATCCGTGACAGTCTGCGCACCGGGTTGACAGTCGGGGACAAACCCTTTTCAGATGAAGGCTGGAAGGAGTTCACACTCACACCTGCCATGATGGCTTTGGCACTTCGTGTGCAGAAGCGTTGTCAGGCCAAAGACATGAAGGAGCAGCCGGCTGCCTCTGGCACGTCCTCTGGCTTGGAGCAGGCGATGGAAAAGTTTGTCAATGCGCAAACAGCTGCTGTCACGCCGCCTGCGAAGCTCGGTCTTTCTTTTGACCTAGCCAAACGCTTGGCCAAGGTGGGCCTCGAGAACTTTCCACAAGATGGCCTGCCCTCCGAAGAGAATCTGGCGAAGTTTGAGCAGGCGGGAAAAATCGCCGCTTCCAAAGGCCGGCGGTACGTGGGCAGTGCAGACGGGGAATGCCTCCAAACGCACCACAGGCCCGAGTGGTCGCGCACGCCAGTGGTGCAGGTCGTCCCGACAATCGGCTCTCTTGAAGATAAATTGAAAGCAGTGTTGGACGAAAAGAAAGCCAGGGAAAACGAACTCAAGTTGGATTACATGGGCTTCGCTACCTTTGTCGGTCACATATTCCAATGGGGCATCAAGTGCGTGCTCATGGAAGTGTGCACTCAGACAGACTTGCTCGCGTACATTTTCAACCTCTCCCACATTACAGAGGAGCATGGCGGCGTCCGAGTGTGCTATCAGTATGACGTGATGCAGCGTCGCGCCATGGCTCGCTCTTTGGAGCGGGGCGACGAGAGCGTGTCCGACTTCTTCTGCAAGCTGGACGACGACATGGTGCGAAAGGCAGCGGACAAGGTGAAGCAGCGTGGCGAGCAACTCAACAAGTTCACTGCTAAGTCTGTTGCGTCTGGCAGCTCCAGCGCCTGCGGCAAAGGCGGCAAGGGCACCGGCAAGGCGGGGTTCCCCAAGGGCGCCGACAAGGGCGAGCCCAAGGGCAACCGGAACACGCTGTCGCCGCAAAGGCCCCCGAAGCGGCAGCGAGACGATGACACTGCGTCCTGGGGCAAGTCGAGCCAGTGGCAGGGCTGGAAGAAGCAGTACAAGAAGTGAGCTGGTCACGACAGCTCCGATAGCGACGCACCCGGGGAAGACGACAGCGAATCGGAGTTGGATGGACGCGTCCGGTTGGAGACCGGCGTTCCCGATTCTGCTGCGCGCTCCGCAGAACGTAAAGATTTCCTTTACGAGTTTTGCGCTGCGGTGCGCGATTTAAATTCTGACAAGGCCAAGTGTGCAACGATGTGCCCGGCTGATCACTTTGAGTGGGCGCTCGCGTTGCCACTTGTCGTCCCGGGCATTTGCTTGCCTGTGATTTTAAAGAATGCGCTGTGCAAAGCTGCCGACATGTCGCCGGCACAACTGCATGAACACCGCGCAAGTGCTGTCTCTCATTGGGAGGAAAGGAAGCGCGTGACGGACCCACTCTGGCGGCAAACGTTTTCTCGTTTGCCTTTGCAATGCCAGAGCGTTTTAGGTCCTGAAAGAATCTTTTCTTGTTGAGGGAGATGCTAGAATATATCAGCTGGCCAGACGCCGAGCTTGTCAATAGCTTAGCTTTCGGTTTCCCGATCGTAGGAAATTTACAGCCGAGCGGGATTCAGCCTGCCAGGGCTGCGTGTGTCTCCGCAACGACGGTGGAGGAACTCCATCAAAATTTTGATGAACGCAACGCCTGCACTTTGAACAGGGTTCGTCGTTCCATAGTGCCTGACCTAGAACTTGCAGAAGCGTTCCGCAACAAATGCTTGCAAGAAGTAGCAGAGCGTAAGGCTCACTGGATTTCGCTTTCTCGCCATCGCTGTCTTTTAACAGCCCGATTCCCTGTCGACGAAGGTTGGCAGGAACAGGGCGGCCGTAAGCGTCGCAAGGTGCGCTTGATAGACGATTTCACTGACAACGGTGTGAACAGCGCCACAGCGATCCCCGAGGAGATGCACCACGATTCGCTTGACACTTTAGTCGGCGTTGCGCGGGCGTGTGTAGGTGGCCATCCCGGCGCTACTTTCCTGTTCAGGAAAGATGATTTCAAGTCGGCTTTTAAAACGCTGCCGATTCGGAGCGAGCATCTGCAATTTGCCGTTGCAACTTGGGCTGAAGCAGAGCGCAGTGATAGAGGTTTGCAGCTTCTCTCGTGCCCGTTTGGGTCGGCTGCGTCTGTATTTGCGTGGCATCGCTTTGGCAGTGCTGTCCAGGCCCTGTTGGCTGTCGTTTTTTTGGTCGTGTACCCGCGTTTCGTGGACGATCTTTTCGGAGGCGATGTGGCCCTGGATACTGCAAACAGCGGGGCGCATGCAGGACCTAGAGGATCTGCAAATTTGGCGCGAAAGCTCGTAGTCGATTTGCTTGGGTGGAGGTTGGACGACGCAAAAGCAGTCACAGAGGCCGACCAAACAGTCGTCTTAGGAGTTGTAGCGAAAGCTTGCCCAGACGGCATTTGGTTTTGGATCGGCGAGGATAAGAAAGAAAAGTGGCTAGCTCAAATTCGTCAGGCTTTGCAGGCTAATTCGTTGTCCCCCGCAGGGGCGGCGAAGTTGGCTGGGCGTTTAAGCTGGGGTGCCACGGCAGTGTTTGGCAGGGGCGCGAGAGTATTTCTCGCGCCGCTGTTTTGGCACGGCAAATGCGGCCGCGCAGAGCGGACGCACCGGGTGCGCAGTGCACTACGGTGGTGGGAGCGATATTTGTGCTCAACCCCGTCGGCTTTTGCTAGTTTCCGGCAGCCGTGCCTTCAGCGGTGCATTCTATACACGGATGCAACTGGCGGGGGACAGCTTGCGTTTGTGCTCGTGACACCAGCCCGTCGGGTA